AAGAAAAAGAAAAAAAAATTTGCGTTATCAAAAAACAAAGTAAAGAAAAAAAAAAAAAGGGAAAAAAAAAAAAAAAAAAAAAAAAAAAAAAAAAAGGAAAGAAAAGAAAAACAAAAAGAAGATACGGGACATTTATTCGATCTTATTATGCACGCGATAAAAACGTTAGCCACCCCATTGTCGTTGATTATCCCATGATTGATTTTTATTTTTTTATTTATATTTGATTTTTTCTTTTCTTTTCTTTTCTTTTTTCCTCCCTCTTTTTGCCCCATCGATTTGATGTCTTTTACTTCGTTTCTGTCTCTCCGTTCTGGCTCCATCCATTTCTCTTTCAATATCTATAATAAAAAAAACCGGCCTCGTTTACCATATGCCCTCAAGCTGAGCAGTCCAATGCCTATAGCGCATATATAGGGTGCTTCAAAACAAAAATCTTTTCAACCGAATGGACTTGTTACAAAAAAACAAAAAACAAAAAAAAAACAAATGAAAAACCGAGAAAAAGAAAAGAGAATTTGTCTTTTAAAAATATAATATAGAGGTATATATACTCGATGAAAAAGAACAAAGTTTATTCAACGATCATTGAAATGTTTGACTAAATTTAAAGTTTAAAATTGTTGTGTGGTAGTTGAAAGAGTACTGGATTTTATAACGGCCTGTAGAAAACTACAGACGGCCAACTCGAATGATGACGATTCCGAAAGTCTGACAATGCGGCAGATGCTGTTCTCTTTTCTCTCTCTCTCTCTCCCTCTCTCTCTCTCTTCCTTCCTTTCTCTCTACTCTTTGACCCCCTTTCATCTGGACGGTTCGTTCTTTCGTGTCATCGTCGTTGTAAACAGGAGTTCGTACATACGTTCCATCTCGACAGCTTTCTCGAAAAGATCTTATAAGATACTCACGAGATATATATATATATATATATATATTATAATATATATATATTATAAGATACTCACGAGATATATATATATATGTGTGTGTGTATGAGAGAATTTATCCAATAAAAAAATCCATTTCAGTGGATTTGTTCCGAGTTTTCATTAACTAAACGTATAATTTTTGTAAAAGAGAAGATATACTAATAATAAACTATTAAGTTATCTTTGCAGTTATATCTCGATATAGAATGTATCACGTTATTATATTTTATTCATAAAATTGTACTTATCAAGAATTTTTCTTAATGGATTTATTTGGAAAATTGTTAAACATCAATTTGAATGAAATTGATAAGATATAATCATAAAATATTAAATAATTAACATTTCTTTGACGACGTACAAGGTAATTATTTCTTGGAAAAAAAAAAAAAAAAGAAAAAGTAAGAAAAAAATAACGAACCGTATACTTTATTAGACTTGTGAAGTATTTTTCTTGGACAGACAAATCTAAAATTGAGATGAGAATAAAATAAAGCATCCTAATATTTGGAGCAGGTTGTAAAAAAAATGAATGAAAGGAGGAATATTCTTGTTCTTTTTCGCAGACTTTCCGTCGTCGTCGTCGTTTCGCCGTTCTACGCTCGATAATTCCCATTGTTCTGGAGGGTTCTTGGATTTCGAGTGCGCCTACTTCGAGCCAACTTTTCGACCCTTATAGAATACTTCCGCGTCGGAGGGATATAACCGTTGGCATTGTGCAACCACCACTACTACATTATTATATACATATAAGACATAAATCTGTCGCTAGTTTGCAAATACATAACGGTAATTATATAATTACGCGAGTTGAGAGATTTATTCCCCCCGTGGTCGGGGAAGGAGGGTTACATACGCACACACACACATATATATGCACATACGCATATAGGAGGACGTAGGAAGTTATGCGGAAATAAAATAATCGATCTAAGATTTGCGAACAAAATGGAAAGTTTGCGTTAACAGTGATTCTTATCGAGTCGCGATAAAAATGAAAAAATAAAAAAGGTATAAATCGACGATGAAAGAAAACCATCTCCTGCTGCACTCTGCTGCAGCTGCAGCAACGATCGAGGATGGCGTAGACAACGGAGAGAAGGCGGTAACAATCGCGGAGCACTCGTCTAGAAAGGAAACAGGCTTTCGCCATTCCGCTTTCCATGATCGTTCAATTATTCAGTAGGGTGGGAGAGAGAAAGAGAGAGAGAGT